ACACATCATGGCTCGTGCCTGCGACCAAATCACAGCCGTGATGTTATTTCACGATAACACACTGCCTCTCGTGTTCTATTACTTAAGTATAAATTGTTACTTGTTATGTTAAGCAGTTTCTATAGATCAGCATTGTATCCCTCAGGCTAATCGGTTTGACAGAATTCATGATTCTATATCATTTTAATTTTTTCCTTTTTTCAGCATTCTCTCACCTAGTGTGCATTACACAAATACATCATATAGCCTTTGGGAATCCCTGTGGTGTCAACCAATCCTGACCAGTAGCCTAGCCAACAATCAATACAACCAAGCTAGCATTAGTTAGATAAAAGAAGCCAAACTGAGGTGAGGTATCTAGAAAGCCAGCTACCCTGCTAACTTTGGCTTTTAGCATGTTGTCCTCCTCATCAGACGAGACAATTCTGTGGCTTGAGTGATCCATTCTCTCCATTGTAATGATGACAATACTACAAGCATGAATAGCACAGAGCTTCAGCAGTGAATGTGACTTCATAATGACTCCTTGAAAAAGCCCAGTTGTTAAGAGTTGAAATCTGAGCCCATAAAATGCAACCAGATGATGAGCTTCCAGTTATTATTCACTATTTGCTGCTAACAGACTCACTTTAACAGGTTTACATGTTATATTCTCTTCATAACTCATTAGTAGGCCAAGCAGATAGCAGAAAGCTAACCAGCTATCAGGCTAACGCTGCAGTAATAAAATACAGGGTTCAAGTTCAGGCCTTTGAATAAAGCATTACTTAAAACTGAGACATACACAGTAAAAAATGTAACTTACATGCCTGTTATGAGCTGAAAAATGTCTGTTTAAACTAGACCTGGCATAAAATCTCATATAGTGGCAAGCAATCCTACTAGCTAGCTTGATGCTAACAAAGCTAGCTCCCATGGTGAAAAAAGTGCATTATTGAAATGCTGGTTGAAAAAGCAGATTTCTAGATTAGACATTGCTGTGAAAAGGGTATATGTTATGGTTCACTGCCTGATTCTCAGTGTAAACACAATTAAAAACTTTAAATGAAATGACTTTATTAGCATGAATAATTTATGTAGGATATAAACAGGATCCTCTGAATAAAGGATCTTTCATGCAGGTTCAGATTTCTGATGACAGATCGATTAAGCTACAAACGTCAGCACACAAGTATTCGAGTAGTGAAACAATGAAGATGACCACTATTTTTATTCATCCCCAATTTTCTGTCATGTTTGGATGTTATAAGCAGTCGAGACACTCAAGATACTGTCTGTTTACCAGAAATTCCGTCCATCTTGATATATTTATCAGAGTAATTTTTTGTTTCTTTGGTTTTTCTTTTTTAAATCAATGTGCTCCGTTTTACTAGTTGTTATTTTTTTATTTATTTATTTATTTTGCCTGCTTTATTTGACATTATTATTTTGGGGCTGCATCTTAAAAAATAAAAAAACATTTAATCACAAAAAAGTATCATGGTGTGCAGCAATAAGCTGGATACTATGTCTAATTCTTCAATTACACCTCAGTAAACATGAACAGGAGTTTGTAAACAGATCGTTTTCTCTAGATAGGATGTTCTCAGCATGGACAGACATCAAATTCAGTCACACTTTTTCATTGTTATACCATATAGCCAACTCTAACATCACATCATTGCATGTGACAAAGAAAGCTACCATATGCACATAAAAAAATCAAAGGGGTTATTTTAGGGGTGACTTAAAAACTGAAAATATGTTAAACATTGAATATGTAATGTAACAACTTCTCCCATAAAGACTACATTCAGTGTTTTTAACCCAGAAAGGCCCTGTGTGGTTTAGAGGCTTTGCAGCTGATACACAAATATTTTATCAAAATAGCCTGATCTGCCACACTTACACATAGAAACATATGATCATAAAACTCACTCACACTAATAAAACCATCACACTACATTAATATCACATCACCGGTTCTAAATAGGTTGCTTAAACCCATTCTATAGCTTATGTACACTGCTTTTAACCCTCTAAACCCCACAGGACATGACCCTCTAGAGAGCTTAGGGTCCAGTGGGATTTAGAGGGTTAACACATTAGAGCTGATGTAGAAATATTCTACCAAAATAGCCCTGGTTGATCTGGCACACTCATGCGTATAAACATATGATCATAAACCTTGGTTCACTCTATCACTTGCTGCATAGCCACCATCACTGATCACGTCACTGACCACATCAGTGACCACACTGGTCCCATATAGGATACTTAAAACCCATACCTCAGGCTACATACAATATATAAACCTTTCAAACCCCATAGAATCCTTAATGGCCTACAGCGTACATTGGAGGTTTTAGCGTCCATGTAAATGAATGATAGACCTCAGTGTGTATAGAGTATATAAATAGGCACCTGTACTCTTCTAACCAACATAGTAATAGCTTTTTTAATACATTTTACTATATTTATGTTAGTTTGTTTGTTTATTTATTTACATACAGCCATATGCAAAGGTTTTGGCACCCTTGTCATATTGCCTGTTTTGCTGCTTTGTTCATTTTTCCAAGTAAAAGAAAAAATCAATGCACAATTCATGTTTACATGAATAAAACATAAAATGTGGCATGTGCAAACTGCATTAAAATTAGCAGGAATGTGTTCCCTGTTGAGGTGCTGTGTGTTTTCATTTAGAAAATCAACAAGCCACGTAATATGATCAAGGGTGCCCAAACATTAGCACATGGCATATTTTGTTTTATTTTTTCCCAATATATTATAGAAACGTGCTACTGGCTCACACTGCTTCTGAGAAGCTTGGGAGGTGTGGCCATGTGGGCGGCCATGCACGGAGGCTCATGGTTTGTGCACAACTGCCTAAAAAAGTGTTTATTTTTGTTTATTGCTGTTGTTCATTAGTTTAAGTTGTGGGAATGTGTTGGTAATGTTTGTGTGTGAGGGAGGGTCACTGTGAGGTTGAAGCCTGTGGTTGGTGGTGACCTGCCCTGCGGGGTTGGCTGGATGTTACGTGCTGTTTCATCTTTCTGATGTTTAATAAATATCACTTATTGTGGTGGGATCATGGCCTTCCTTTTGTCTTACTTTACACTGACACCACAGTGGTGTCAGAAGTGGGGTAGTGCCTCTAGACAGTCCAGAGTGGTACTGTGCTACAAAGAACTTCAAGGCGAGACAGCATGGTAAGGCTCGATTACAGAGCTGGCACAGGAAGACTCGACAACGAAGCACCACGTGAGGCTTGATACTAGATGCGGCATTGCAAGCATGATGGCTGTGATGGGAAAAGGGAGGCCAGCGAAAGCAATTGTTGAAGGCTTCAGCGTTGAGGCACCACGGCAAGCAGCAGAGCAGTTGGTGAGCCGGCGTTGCAGAAAAAGAGAACACCGTGCCACATGGTGCCATGAACCTGAGCCAGTGGGTAAACGGAGGCCAGCCAGGAGGTCTGGTGGCCGCCGCAGGCTGTGGGTCAAGCGCAGCAGGAACCGCCATCATGGGCTTGCTGATATCCCCACTGTGCCCAGGCATGCTAACGCACACATACAAACTGCTGGAACGGCGACCATCCGGCTTAGATCAGTCACCAGCAGCAGAGGCAGCGCCTCAGCATTTGTGCTGGCCAGGACTACACATGACCAGGGATTTGGCTTGAGCTGGTGGGTTGCTCAAATGGTTGACTTTTGTGGGGGGGGCAGGGGGGTGTATTTAGCAACCTGCTACTGGCTTGTACTGCCTCTGAGTAGCTCAGGAGGCTCATAGTAGGGATGCACCCTCCTAAAAAGGGTTGCTTATTGTTGTTGTTTGTTAGTTTAAGCTGTAAGTATGGCTTGGTTATGTTTTAGTATGTCTGTGGCGCAGGTTGTTTGTGTGTGAGGGGTCACTGTGAGGGTTTATCCTGTGGCTGGTGGTGACCTCCTTCTGCCTGGCACATAACATAATAATAAAGGGCACTTCTTGTGGTGGAACTGTGACCTCCACTGTGGCTAACTATATACCAACAGCACAATATAAAATTCAGCAAGAAAATGGAAAATGTGCATTAAATTTTGCCAAGTTTAAACACATTTTTCCAATCTGTATATATCACAGTAAACCTTGGTCCACTGTGTCACCAGATAGCCAGCACTGAAAGGACATCAGCGACCCCAATGACAATGTGATATTATTCATGTGGAACCGACTGGAGGACCCTGTAAATCCTACAGGACCCTCAAGAGCTCATAAGGAGCCTATGGGGTTTGGGGTTGGGGGGTACATACGTCACGAGCTGATGCACGAATATTTTACCATGATAACCCAGACTGAGCTGATACAACACGCGGTGGAGATTTCAGTGCACACATAATAACACACGCACCTACACACTCTCCTCGAGAGAGTGTATAGCTGCACGCGCATAAACATCGAATAACTCCAATGCTAAAGTTCTACTTGCTTTTAAGTTGGTTGCCACCTTATTTTTTGCAGGAAAAGGTGATGCACGAAGTCAGGGTTGTTGTTTTTTTTTCTTTTTTTTTGTGCAAAAACGCACGAAGCCCATCCACACCCTTCAAGCTTACTCGCTGACCTACATCGAGCGAGTGGGATACGCACGAAAATGAGTAATTCACACCCTCGCCGCCTCGAGCTGCTGCACAAAGAAAGGCTCAAATGCGCTTTCAGAGGCGGTTTTTGAGGGAGATGAAAGGAAAAAAACATAAAAAACATAAAAACATAAGAAAACTCCCTTTTCTGCAGAACGAGAATCCGCGCGCGGTCACTGCAGATCCGGGACGCTGTCTGCGAGACGTTCGCGCACAATTTCGGCTTCCCAATCCTAAAAACAGCGAGCAAAGCCTTCCTTCTGATTCCCTGAGAGTTTTCAAAGAAACGGGCAGAAGGAGAGGACGGTCACTGCAGATCTTTTGGCGAGAAGCTCGTGCACAGTCGGAAAGCAAAAGCAAAAGCCTTCCTTCCCTTTTGCGCGAGAGTTATTATAGGAAACGGGTACATACCTGGACTAAGACCGGCTGGGTTTCTAGTAGTACTCCTGGACTTGGCGCTCGGGTTCTCCTCGTTTCCTTATGCGCTGCAGCCCGGCATTGCAAGGCGCCGCTTGCAGTGGGAAGGGTGTGTGTAGCGCGCGCGCGCGTATGTGTCTGGTCGTGACGGTGCACCGCACACTAGTGTTGGGTCTCGTTGGTGTAGCCCAGTCCCCTTTCGGCCACCAGCACGCGCGTAATTGGGGAAGAGACAAGTTTGAAGTTGACCGTCCAGTCAGGTCAGTTGTAGGAGCAGTGGACAGCGCCAGTGCTGAAATCTTCGCAGCGTCTGCAGCGGGCGAGATCTGCTTGGCTGGAACCGATAAACAGCACGCAGTAAAAGTTGCATGAACGGGGATTCGCCCGCCTTCTAATTGCCTCTCAGGGTACCAAAGCTCTTTCAGCTCCTCTGGTTTGGGGAGGGGGGTGAAGGGGAGGGGCTTGTCATCAACCTGCAAAACTTGAGGCTTTTCATTGGCTCGAATGGAAGCACAAAAATGACGTTCGTGCTAAGAACCAATACGTCTATAGCGATCCTGCGAACGTCAAACAGCCTCTGAAATGTGAAATGTGAAGAGTCCTCGTCTTCACTGCTTGTAAACACCATCATCATCATCATTTCAAGGAACAGAGACACTGACACAGATCAAATGCCTTAATGGGCTGCTCATGTGGGCTGCTTGGGCTTTTCAGAGGCTGCAGGACGAAGCAGAAAGAATATTTATAAAACTAGAATATTTATACGGGGGTGGATACATTAGATGCATAGACAGATGTCAGATGTTTCATTTGAGATGTAGTTAAGAATCGTTTTTCAAAGATTAGAACAGGCTGCTGGAAAAGGTTCTGTGCAGGTACATTTTTCGTTCATCAAGGTACAAACAGTGTATATGGTCCCTCAAAAGTACAAGTGATTTTAAGGTCCAACTGTGAACTATACATTTTTTTTCCCAGGTGAAAAGTACATATTTGTACCTTTTCATAACCGAATGTTTTAAAACAGAACAATAAAATAAAAAGCCTGGAGACAAGGCGGGGTGTGTGGAGTAGTACAATTTAGAAAATATAATTTCAATGGATTATGGTGCAGTTATGTTCCCTGACTAAAGGTACTGAGACATACGCTTGAGGGGCCCACCCCAGAGACAAGAGGGGGACTGCCCCAGTGACAGTTTAGTACCTTTTTTCTGAGAGTGCACCTTCTTGTGAACCTACAGGGCACCTAAATACATTGTTTACAACCATTTATTTTGAAAGTAAAAGAGTTTTTGCTGGTAGAAACATCATATATTGTTAGAATACAGTAGATGCAAATAAACATAAATACAGTAAAAAGTGACAGGAATTTCATATTTTGAAAAAAATAGTTGATACCATGTGAGCTAGTCTGAAGAATAAAGTTTGTTGCCAGATTTCTCCTGGATGCTACCACCTATCAGATTTATCAGCATTAAGTATTGGTTAGCAAAACCAAGTATTGGATAATAACTACACAAAATGCTGAGCTTCCTCCTGGAGAGGTTTGGAAATTGTTAAATAAATGTATTGACTGCGTGTTGTAGGAATATTATTTGTAGTTATTCTAATATTAGTGTTTTTCAGAATAAATGCACATAAACTGCTTTCTCAGGAGCCTAAAACTTTTGCACAGTACTGTCTGTAATCTTTGTTCTGCATCTGCAATGACAGCAACATCAATAACAGCAATAATACTAATACATCTTCTTATACTACAACAATAGCAATAACATCAAAAATAATACAAATACTATGTCTACAACATTGACAATAATGACATTTATATTGACACTACTTCTATAACAACAATGACAACAGCAACAAAAATACTAATGTAACTTCATTATTATTGTTGTTATTTTTATGATGATTATTTTTAGAACAATAAAAACTTGAATGATCCCATCATCATCATCACCATCATCATCATTTTTATTTTGATTATTTTTGTTGTCTCTAATATGTCTGTGATGAGGCTGTTATGAATTCACAGCTAAGGCAACTATTATGATTATTATTTAATTCCAGCAGTAAGCAAAGTCAATAAATCTTTAATGATGAGATTATCCTAAGAATCCTAAGTAACTGTAATGTCCAGTGCTTCCCAGCATGTGGTCCATATGTGCATAAGCCTGGTTAAATGGAGTGGGCAGAACTAATGGTCAGCTAAATACACATACTTTCATCCATGAGCTCCTTAGAGAGAGAGAGAGAGAGAGAGAGAGAAGAGAGAGAGAGAGAGAGAGAGAGAGAGAGAGAGAGAGACAGAAACAGAGAGAGAGAAAGAGAGAGAGAGAGAGAGAGAGAGAGAGAGAGAGAGAGAGACAGAAACAGAGAGAGAGAGAGAAACAGAGAGAGAGAGGGGCGGGGGGCTTAAGCTGGCATTCAAAAATATTGTTTAGTATTTCCTGTTTTATTATTTTAACTGTTGACCTTGAGAGACAGAATAGAAGAAAAAGAAGAAGAAGAAAGAAGAGGAGGAGGAGGAACAGGAGGAAAAAGAAGGAGGAAAATAAGGAGAAAAAGGAGGATGAGGAGGGAGAAGGAGGTGGAAAAGCAAAAAGGGGGAGGAAAAGGAAACAGAGGAAAAAGGGAAGAAGAAGAAGAAGAAGAAGAAGAAGGAGGAGGAGGAGGAAAAGGAAGAGGAACAGGAGGAACGGGAGGAAAACAAAGAGGAAAATAAGGAGGAAAAGGAGGATGAGGAGGGAGAAGTAGGTGGAAAAGCAAGAAGGGGGAGGAAAAAGGGAAGGAGTAGAATAAGAAAAAAAAGAAGAAAGAGAAGAAGAAGGAGGAGGAGGAATAGGAGAAAAAGGAGGAAAAAGGAGAAGGAAAATAAGGAGAAGGTGGAAACTAAGAAGGGAAAGAAGAAGAAACAGAGAATAAGGGAAAGAAGGAGGAGGAAAAGAAGAACAAGAAGAAGAGGAAATAAAAAGGGAGGGAAGGATATTATTGTTTTATTTATTGAGCACATCTCATTTCAGTTACAAACATTAAAACAGGTTACATAAAGAGTATAAGAAAAAAATACAAAATACAAAAGAAGAAAGAGAGAAAAAGATGAGCATAACTTCAAGAAGCAAATGAGCTCCTGTTACTGAAGCTGCTCTGTTCTATACTTTCTCAGACTCAATCTCTGTTCTTCAGTGCAGATGAGCCAGTAGTTGAACAGCCGTATCATTTTACAGCCTCTGTAATATAAAACCACTTTAAACAGCAGCTGAATAACCTCATCCTACATCAGGCAGTGTTAGAAGGAGATTTCAGAAGGTCAGAACTGTAAGAGTGAGAGATGAGACTCCATTCTGACCGTCTTCCTCACGAGAAGATGAGGAGGACAGTGTGTAGACACAACTTATCCAGCATATCTTTTGGTATTAATGGGGAGTTTAACACTCTTTAGCTCTACTCTTCTAGGGAGGCGTTACTCTAGATGTTGGAACATTGCTGTGTGGATTTGATTGAGCATTAGTGAGATCAGCTACTGATGTTGGATGATCAGTTCTGAATCACTCCGACTCAAACTAAAGGAATTGGATGGAGCTCTGTCATTCCAGAGAGCACAGCTCTACTGCTCCACAGCCCAATGCTGGGGTGCTTTATACCTCCAAATGTATTTTATTTGTGTGGATTTATATCAGTGAAATCCAGCTTTTCATTGCCTGGTGTACAATGAAAATTACCCCAAGGCCAAAGCACAGAATCGGTTCACTTAACTGTATTGTAACCTGCTTTGTGACAGGCTGACGCGCTTATGATGCATTTCATTTGCCATTTTCTGATCAGACTATTTTAATCTCATATTTACAAGCAATCATACATATAGATTTGGAATCATAAGAAACCCAATACATAATCAGTGTATGCACTCTATTTAATTACATTTGTTTGTTCTATGGCTGGCTGAACAGGAGCTGCAGCATTATTGGCTTAAACAGCCACTGGCATCACGTGCTGATCTCTACTTTCACCTGCCGATTTCTAGCAGCTTGTGGACTTATCTGGGGAGTTTGGATATGCAAATGAGCTTAACATGGATTCTTATTGAGATTATGGTCTGCGGATCAGATGCAATAAGCTTGGAAAGCATCACAGGATGGCTGCATGCAATAAAATCAATGCATTAGTTTTATCAGTGAATCGTCTGAGAGATCAACACACTTCAAATTCCACATTAATCCAGAGAAGCCCTTTATTTTTAAAGCTGATCTATGTAATATTTGGGGATTTGGAGACCTCTCTGGTGAAAATATGTAATTGCATGCAACGTGTGGAAGAACATTTTGTAGAGTGGGCTTCGGACCCTTCCCCAAGCGGCTGAAGTGAACTTAGTCTAAACTTGGTGAAAGACATTCCTTCTGAGGATGTGAGTGGATTATCTATTGTCTTCATCAGTATAATGTTGACTTTGAGGCCTAAACATCGAGCCAGACCTTCTTTTTGAGCCATTATGAAACATTAATACATAAAGATGTATGACATGGTGTGAAAAACCCTCAAAGCCTCTGACTTTTAAATAATTATTTTGAGGCTTCATAGGGCAAGTCGCAGCAGCACACGCTCACCATATTTTAGCATATTTTTACTCTCCAGACTCATAAATGACAGTTTGTTGAATTTTATCAAAGAAATCTTACATAGTGCAACTTTAACAAAGTAGGTAGAACCTTCCTGTGAAATCCCGGTACATCTGCGGAATCTTCTGGCCTAGCTGATCACTACACAGCAAATGGGCATGGTGATCATTTCTTTCTGCATACATTTCTTTCATTTTGTTACCTTTGGTTGTCAGTTTCTGGCAGACAATCAGAGGGCTCAGTCAAATATCCAGTTGAGGGTTTTAGCCTGTTTTTTCCACACTATGTTCAACCTGTGTCAAAAGTGAAAGTGAGAGTATCTGCTGAATTGGGAATTAAGATCACTTGATTACAGTGTAATATATCACCAGGTTACAGTAAACAATGTAAAATAAGGCAGAAACTTTGAAGATTCATTGTGGTTACAGAATAATTCATAGTAGATGCTGAATAATTAATAGTGGTTACTGACTAATTCACAGTAGATCCTAAATAATTCATAGTGGTTACTGAATTATTCATAATGGATACTGATTAATTCATAGTAGATACTGAATAATCCATAGTAGTTACTGAATAAGCTATAATAGTTACTGAATAATACATAGTTGATACTGTACCATGCATAGTAGATTCTGAATAATTCAGAGTAGTTACTGAATAATTCATAATGGATACTGAATAATTCATAGTAAATACTGAATAATTCATGATAGATCATGAAAAGTCATTGTAAATACTGAAAAATGAACTGTAGATACTGA